TACACCTTTTGCTGTTCATTAACCGCGAAGGGACTTTCAATCAAGCGAAACTGCATTGTCTTTAGCGCGAACGAACGTTCATTAACGCTTAGGGAGTTTCAAGAGCGTGAAGGGAGAATCATTAACATATTTAGCATAGACATGGACAATCATGCATAACTGGGCGCAGATTCATTAACGTTTTCAAACCTTCATTAGCCCATTATGTGCATTCAATAAACTACAACAAACATACAATACCAAAATACGGACATTTAATTTCGTCATAGTATTTATTTCTAGGATTTAAAGAGTGTTTAATAAGTGTGATATTTTACATACAAAAATTATCTTCATCCTTGAATATGCTCTCTATTTAAGCATCTTGGTAAATAAGTTTGCATATGGTTGCGGTAGAACTATTAAACCCCAATGTAGCGGCAACCGCTAGATAATCCTCGGCCGGGTCCTCATACACTCTTACAAGACGCTCTTTCACTTCGCTCGAAATTCGATGTCGACGCGGAGGCATTGCATTCCAACTTTAAACAAGTCGTAGTAGCTGTAACCATAGTTAACGAGTCATATTTCATGCTGAAATTTGACTGCAAAAACTGTGACGAAATTAAATGTCCATATTTTGGTATTGTATGTTTGTTGTAGTTTATTGAATGCACATAATGGGCTAATGAAGGTTTGAAAACGTTAATGAATCTGCGCCCAGTTATGCATGATTGTCCATGTCAATGCTAAATATGTTAATGATTCTCCCTTCACGCTCTTGAAACTCCCTAAGCGTTAATGAACGTTCGTTCACGCTAAAGACAATGCAGTTTCGCTTGATTGAAAGTCCCTTCGCGGTTAATGAACAGCAAAAGGTGTATTATATAAGTGATATTTAAAAAAACGAGTAGGAGTGTTTTATCGTGAGGGCCTCGTGTTTATATCCACGATAAAACACGGACTACGAGTTTTTTAAATGACTTCTAAAACCCAAACCTAAGAAACTACAATAAACATGAAATAAATAAAAAAATATCAAAAATGAATAATTGATGAAGATATCTCCCTCTGAGCATGAGCAGTAATCAACTTGGTTTCCCACATCCCATTTTTTCTTCAAAAAAGTAATTTTAACTCCAGACCTAGTGAAGTTCTATGATGAGAGTCCAAAACTGAGAACTTTTCTAGTGTTGGGCACACATCGAGTGTCTGTAAATCAGTTACGACACTGATGTTTTATGCATCAGTGTTATAACTAACTGAACCGGTTAGTTATAAAACTCATGTTTAATTAATCAGTGTTTATAACTTGAGTTATAGATCCTGTCATGTGACCCATAGTTGCATGCTCATTGGAAGAATGTCTACTGAATAATTCATGAGTTTTAGAATTATATTTAAAAGCAAATTATGATACCTTATTTATTACTTCTAATAAATAGAGAAACCACGAATGTCATGTTTTTGTTTACTAGACTTTTCGAAAGAGAGAAATGTAGGTATTTCATAGATGATATAGCTGATAACAATCGGATATCATTTGACTTAAATCACTCAAAACTAATCAATGATTTTCGGGGATACATAAACCATCGAGTTGGAATTCGAGTTCAAGTTCGAATCAGACTTCGAGTTGGATTTCAAGCTGGGATTCGAGTTGAAAATAATGTAGATATTACGTATAAGATGTTGAATAGTGCTAAATTGAGTACAAAAATCATCTATTATAATAAATACTAGGGTTTTGTTTCTTCTACGTGTGTTTTAATTTTCCGAGCTTTCGGACAACTTGTCCATCATCAGGGCAAAATGAAATTAAAATGTAATTTCATTTTGCCCTGATGATGGACAAGTTGTCCGAAAGCTCGGAAAATTAAAACACACGTAGAAGAAACAAAACCCTAGTATTTATTATAATAGATGATTTTTGTACTCAATTTAGCACT